GGGAAAGAGGGCCAACCCAGGGAATACTACACTTTGGATTCTATCTTGTTCCTGCTCAACAATGTGCACCTTTCACATCCTGTTTATGTCCGCCGTGCTGCAGTAAGTAAAGAATCTAAAGTTTTTATTTTGTCTTTTTTTTTGTGCTAAGTAATATTCACACAGTTATTTTGAGGAAATTTTAAGTCTATGAATTTGTTGGGGAAGTGGGGGAAAGATAGGCAACAAAGTGTGTGTTTAAAAAGAACACCTCTCTGTAGGGATCAAATAATAATCCCTTTCAAGGTCCTTTTTTCTTGACAGCTCTTCCTAACAGATTATCCTTTCAAACCATGAGGTTGCATTTAGGAAGAGTCTGTCACCTACATATCAACAGTAATGGCAGCATTTCTTTTGATACTTTACAGTTACAGTTGTCTCCAGCACTATTTCAAAGTACGTTTGTCCGTCTGTTGTGTCATCCCAATCTAAGTGATCCTTTAGTGTCTGAGATGGAGGATCTATAAAACAGAGAAGTGTACAGCAGAATAGCTTCAGAGTAGACTCAGAATTATGCAATCTAATTAAATAATTAAATAATTAAATAAGCTAAACAAATGAAGATAGCTGCACTCTGAAAAAGAACGTCCTTTTGATTTTCATTTGACTGCTTTTTGAGAGTCCATGCTTCATCTTCCCCTGTGCCCCACAGTTATCTGATACAGCAGTGCTATGTGTTGTACATACTTGGAACAACAAAATTGAAATACTCTGTTTCTGCCTACTGACATTGGCTTGTGCCAGAAAAGTGTGCATGTTGAAAGCTAGTTCTTGATCTTATTTGTGAGTTTGAAGTGAAGGAGGAAGAAGGCTGTCCTTTTGTTCAGTTTTATAGCAGACAACACGTTGCGTTTTGTGTAAGTGAACATTCTCTAGGAGGTAATTGTATTATTTGGCTTGATAGTTTTGCTTTCTTGGGAGGCAGGACATATGTGCCTGTCTTTGTGTGAATGAGCAGTTTTCAATAAAAGTGAAACACCTTCAGCAAGAGACTTTCTGGAGGAATAACAGTTTAATGTCAAGTCTGCTGTCTTTTCAGACTGAAAACATTCCTGTGGTAAGAAGACCTGATAGGAAGGACTTGCTTGCGTACCTAAATGGGGAAACATGTGAGTGATGCTTATTTTTAACTTAAAATACATGGTTTGCTTTAATGCTTTGTATTTATGGGACAAGTAAGGGGTAGGAGGGAAAAGATGATTAACCATGGTCAGTAACTGGGCGTAACTGGATATGTGCAGACTTGTTTAACAAAGTTAGGATTTTTTTATTTTTTAGTTTCCACCTGAACTTAACTATTTTTATGGTGCTTAGGGTAGGAGCTGTATTCCTACCTGTTAGATGTGAACTACTTTTTTATTAACATCCTTTGGTTAATAATAGTTATGTGCTAGAATGCTTAGGGTTGTATTTTTTCCTTCTTTAGACTGTGGGCAAGCTTTGGGTAGTGTATTGATCTTGATGGATTGTGTGGAATAAAATATTCAGTACAATAAAAGATCAAATCACTGCTTTATCAGTCTGGCAGATTTGCTGAGTGTCCCATCTTAAAATGTTAACGGTAGTCAGATAAAAGAGGTTTCTCTGGTGAGAGAAAGGTACGCATGGCTTAGTTTTCCAGGTTGCTTTGTTTTGTATGTGGTAGAATTCTAAGTATACTGGAATATGAGATTATTTCCGTAATATAAGCAGTAAACCATATTTAATGTGTATTTTAAAGGCACCAGCAGGTTATCTTCATACCAAAAACCCAACAAACGAGTAGATTTTGATTCCAGGTTGGAAAGTTAATTATCTTTGTGTCTCTGTTTTCTCTGATGTGGTATATACAAATCGTAGAATCTCTGACTAATTCATGCTGGAAGGGACCACAGGAGGTCATCTGGTTCAATCCCCTTTTCAAAAGAGGGCCAAATGACCCTGAGCAAGCTGATCTAACTTCTTATTCAGTCAGGCTCCGAATATCTCCAGTTCCAGTGTGTGACTGCCTTTGCTACCTAGTATCTCATTAGAATTTCCTTTGTTGCAATTTATCTGTTGTCCTTCTTCCTTTTATGCTTAAATACTTTTGCAGATATTTTGTGCTTGAGTAAAATATTATGTTTGATTACAGCAACCTCATCAAGCATAGACAGAAGCGCTCCACTAGAAATTGGTCTTCAGCGGTCCACTCAAGGTACAGTTTATCTACAAAATAACTTTGAAGTATATTTTATGAACATCTACTATAATCTTGCATTATTAATGTCCTCTTTTTCTTGTAGTTAAAAGAGCAGCAGATGAAATATTAGCAGAAGCAAAGAAACCAAGAATAGAGGTAATGACAGTAGCTGTCATCCATACAAATTGGGGGTGGTAGTAAATAACAGTATTTATCTGCTTTTGTAGCAGTTCAGTTGGGATACCTGTCCTCTGGGTGCACACAGTACTTCTGTTAGAGTGAACAAGAACTGGGAGGAGTTAGAATTTAAGCCTCCCATTTGAATGTGGAATTTTAGTTGCTAGATGCATGCTGTAGTATAAAAGGGGAAAGCTTGACCATGTATCTCTTAAGTACCTGTTACATTATAATCCGTTTGCTAAAGGCTATGGGATTGGAATAAAAGTGCTGTTTAATGTCCAACTAATGAATTCAGCAGAGTATCAATTCAGCAAGTACCAATGACTACAAGCAATATGTCTAGTTATTATGCATGTTGTTTTACTCAACTCTGGTTGTTGTTTTTTGTTTTTTGCAATCTGTGTTCATCCAGTTTTCTCCTCTGAGTTGTTGTAAATCTGACTGTACATGCTTGCAGGGCATTGAGGCTTTAGATTTCCTCTTGCAGGAGAGTTATCAAAATACATTAATTTCCTTATTCAAGAATTGGATTTGAGTATTGTTTGTGCTTATCTATGACTGCTAATAATAAATAATAAAAACACAATGCGTTCTTAATAGCATGTGAGCAGGTGATTGTTGGGAGGTGACCTATTGATTATCTATAGATTATTGTTCTACATAGCCTATATGGCTATGATGCCAGAAAGTTTTGAAACTGTTGATCTTCACCATCATTAGAATTCTGCATATGAGCCTAATGAGTTTATGGCCATCTCTTCTCTTTGTTTCCTTGCTGCTCCAGCAGCTCAGAGTCTGTCAAGTCTGCTTTAAGTTACTCAGAGATCATCTTGATGTAGAGATTCCAGGTCTCTCCTGATACGTGGCTATGCTTCAGCCTTTCCAAATTGTCTTTTAGCAGCAGGAGAGACTTGATGCTGGTTGAACTTTTGTGGGGAAATAAGACAGATTGAACACAAGTGGTACCAGCATTAAGAAGCTGAAAAGATGGCATAAAATTACATCTCTCTACTGCTTTCTCAAATTACGTATCTGTCTCAAATCTGTCTTGGGTAACTAGAGGCTTCCTTACTCTTGACTTTTTTTATTTATATTTGCTAGGAATGCCATTTATGTAAGTTCTGCATCAGGATATGACAATTTTGAGCATTTTTGGTTTTTTTTAAAGTCATTGCTTAGACATCTGGGCATATTAAAGCATCTGATAAATTTACCTTAAATATGTATGTATGTATATGTATTTCCCTGCCTGAATGTGTGCAAGAATTTCCACTTTTATGTTCTCTGACTGATTTTTCTGTTGTTCTCAATTGTTGTCTAAGCAAGGCTCTTCACAAGGGACTAGTAGTTTTCTTTTCATTATTCTAATTATACTTTGTGTTTCTTGAGAGGAGCTGTACACCTAATGCTACTGCACAGATCAAAAATAATCGGAAATAAAGTTTGTCCTTGCAAATGTAAAAATTAAAATTCTGAATAGCTTTTATTCTAGCTGTATCTATTTTTTTTAAAGAGAATGCACAAAAAATAAACATTGCAGTTAAATATGACTGTTACTGCCAGGATGAAGAGTGTGTGCGCCTTGACAAGGAGCGGTTGGCAGCTCGGTTGGAGGGACACAAAGAAGGTATCGTGCAAACGGAGCAGATCAGGTAGGAATACTTTGTCTTACAGATAATACCTAATTAAAGGACTGATAACAATTACTGTGCCCTTCAAGGCAGCCAGTTCTACTTCTGTCCAGCAGCTCTCAGTGAAAGTCTCCCTCCATAAGGTGCTATTGTCAGATATGCTTAAGGAGGTAGAATTTAATGTCTGGTTAGACTCCTGTTCTTGAGTTGGATGTTCAAATGTCGTGGTATGAGATGTGGCTTGTCTTCAGAAGTGGGCAGACAGTTTTCTCTTCTACCCACCAAGTCTGCCATTTCTGCTTTCTTCTGCCAGGGCATTATAAGCATGTCTAAGCAGTCAAATACAATGAGCAGAACTGCAAGGGGAAGCTGGTAATCTCTCTGTTTCAAATTAAAATATCCTTATTGAGGAATGTCTTGCATGATAAAGGAGGAAGACATTGTAAGAACAAATAAAATGGTAACACAAACTCTTTTGACTCACTACAGAGGTGAGCTTGGTGCCTCTGAAGAGGCAGTAGGCTAGCAGAGGATAAGTAATAATCAATATGCAAGTGCTCAAAAACTTTCCCATCACCTTTCCTCTTCCATTGTATCCACCCAAAATTTTGCAAAGAATGACAGCTGGTTTTAAGTCTTAACCCATATATTTCCAAAGTCAAGCAGAGACCAAGTTCTTGCACCATTTTTTTGTTTCTTGGGCTTAGTAGGATACCAGGCTTTGGTAGTTCATTTTCATATACCTGAGTTGAGAAGTCTTAAAGTGAAGGCAGCTGCTTAATTTCTTTAGTGTGCCAGCTCCTGTAATATAAAATGGGAGTCATGCTTCTTACATGCTTCTAAGGTGTATGGGTGTGAATTAAAGTACTACTTTGTCTGCACTGGATTTTTCAGCTAAGTAGTTTTACTTTATGGACCAACTGCTTTCTTGGGAAATTCATCTCTTAAAACATAAGCATAAACAATACCATGAATGCTTGTCTGTGTTTATTGGTATTAAACTTCTATTAGCTTTGCAGAATTAATATAGCAGAGTGGAGGCATTTATAGAATCCATAATTAGACCTAACCATGTGAAAAGTAGACATTTTGAATGTCTTCCTCTATGACTCTTGTATTGGTGTACTTAAAAGGAAACTACAAGAAAAAATGAAAATCTAATTGCCATATCTGACTTGGAATCAGAAAGTCTATGGACCAAAAAATCAAGAAGTACACACATTGTTTTAAATAAATGAATCATCTGGATACTAGCTTGATTGTATCTCATCTTTGTTTAGGAGTTGAGGCAGTGCTGCAGTGAGGATCACACAGTATTGTTTAAAATGACTTTGTATTCTGTATTTACAGGTATTTTTTAATGCTGGATGTAAAAGACTGCACTTTTATAAGAGTGCAAACAGCATTTCCAGGCAGTGGGTTTGAACTCGGTGCTTGTCACTGTTGTTACTTTGTTTGACAGCAACACAAAAAGTTCCATTTCCAATACCTTCCTTGTAGAAGGAGACTGCTTTACAGCCAGAGCTTGTATTCGCTTTTCAATGTAATCTCTAAAAAAAAGAAAGTCAAGTTCAATGGGATATGTGCAGCTAGGATTGTGCAAGTCAGTCCTTTTTTCCTTCAGCTTACCTGCAGATCGATAGGTCTAACTGTTTGACAATCAAATTCTGTATTTACAATTAAAAGCAAACAAATAAAGATGTTGCGCTCTTGGACTGAACTGAACTATCTCAAACACAGATTAATGTGGACAAAGTTACTACCATCTGTTGCTTGTTTGGCCTACATGCTCTGAAAAGGTAAAACATTTTCCAGGTGGCCTAGTCCACATAACAGCACCTCAGCTGAAATTAATGCTTGAAAGCCTCAGAGCAGCCAGGAATTGATTGTCTGAACAGAAAATTATATCCCACTAAAAAATAATAGGCAGCTGAAATTAGTTGTAAATTGAAGTGTTAGTTCTGATGCTTTACATTTGCAATCTATTTCTGCTTGTTATAGTTAGGACTTTTTTATGTTTATTGTACTAGTATTGGGATCGAGACTTCTATCAGAAGTTTGGTTCTCATGCCCAAAACAGCAGGGCCAAAGTCATGTAATTTTCAAGTATAGGAAAGGTTGCTATGTTATGATTTATAGCATAACTGTAAACTTCAAGCAGGATGAAGTTACTCATTCACAAATTATTTCAGAATAATTGTGCAATTATTCAGTCTCTTCTGTATTTTTGCTCATTTAGGTCCTTGTCTGAAGCCATGTCAGTGGAAAAAATTGCTGCTATCAAAGCAAAAATCATGGCAAAGAAAAGATCCACTATCAAAACTGATCTGGATGATGACATAACTGCTCTTAAACAGAGAAGTTTTGTTGATGCAGAAGTGGATGTAACCAGAGACATTGTCAGCAGGGAGAGAGTATGGAGGACAAGAACTACGATCTTACAAAGCACAGGCAAGGTAATGCTCTGGACACCAAGCTCCATGATTCAAATGACAATCTGTATTTTCTCTTTTCTGTAACTAGCTTGTTTACCATAGATGACTGAAGGGTTTTGGCTTAGTGTTCTGGAAAGGTTAGCCTTGGAAGGCTGTTGGCACAGTGACAGAAGAGTTTGTTCTTAACTTGTTACAGTAAGCCTAGAATGTATCTCAAAATATTTGCTTCAGCCATTTAAAGGACACAAATTAATCCCTTAATTCCTCTTGAACAAAGCTGACTTGAGCCCTGCACTTGGGAGGCCTACATGAGAGTTCCTGTGGGTTTGAAATGTGATAAAGTGGGGAGTAACTGATAGCAATGGTGTACATTGGAAGTCAAAGGCTGCTAAGCTGTGGAAAGCACCAAAGAAGTAAGGAGAGAAAATGCTAAAATGAACAAAATCGGAAGGTGTTACCGTTGAGGAGACTTTTCTGTATATTTTTGTCCTCTCATGCTGCATTTGGTTATGTGCCATCCAGAACATGGCTGCAAGCACACCTGGTAGCTTGCTCTCTTTGGACAGTTTGGCTTTCTGGATGGCAAGGATAGTGGGCACTACATTTCACAAGAAAGCAGTTAGTAAATTTCTAAAAGATTGCAAAAATGTCTGTTTTCCTGAGTTTTTTTTCAAATTGCATCCTTTGCCTTCACTTCTTCAAGTAGTGTTATAGGAAAAAAAATGTCTACAAGTAAACAAGGTCCCAGTTTTGTTTTATTTTTAATAGTATTTTATAGAGCACTCATTTTCATAGCCTGGTCTCTTGGCTTTAGCAGTAGAATAATTTCATGAATTACAGGGTAATTACTAAGGATGTGAAACACACACCTGCATACTATGTGCAGAGTGAGCAGTGCTGCTTTGAGTCTGTGAGATTTGTGCAGAATCACAGGAACATTCTGGATAGCGTGGACAGTTCCTCAAGTTGTCTTCTCCACAGAGAAAAATGCTTGTGAGTCAACTTTGCCAATGTTCTCTGTAGTAAACAAATATTCAGAGATAGATTAAGGCACAGAAGAAAATACCTAGGAAGATCAGGCCACAGGAAAAAGAAAATAATCTATCATCCTTAACAGCTTTGTGGCAGGTTCCCTCTAGTTTTGGTATGTTTGAAGATGTACTGATTCCTCCAGCAAGTTGCTCCTCAAAATAATCTTAACTGTATTTATGGAGCATTTACTGTTTCTCCTTCTGGACACATTTTCTGATTCTGAAGTTTGCTTTTTATTTCAAATAGCCTTTTTTGCTTTATAGAATGGTCCCAGGGTTGTTGGTTTTTTTTAAGTCTCCAGTGATATAGTGTTCGTTCTTAAATATATTTAGAAGTTTTCATGACACTTGTGTTCTGTCCTTTTAGATCCTGCTGTTAATGATCTTTTGGTAACATCTTCATTGCTACCTAGCTCCCCTTGCTGAAATTAAATAGTGGTGGATTTTTTTCTGGCTGTAGGGTTGTTTTTTTTTTCCTTTACCAGGATGTTGAATTTCAGTGTGCTGAGGCTCCTGTTTTAGAATATTCTTCAGCAGCTGCCTCACTAAAGTAGGTAGTAGGGAATAAATCAAGAGTTGCTTTTCCTTTTGTGGCTACTTAGGTCAGTTACTCCAGGAAGCAATTGCTTATGATAGCTAAAGAATTAATTGCTGCATTGCTTCCCTTCTTAGCACTTACCCAACCAACAAAGTAACTACAATCTCTCATAATTACTGTTTTCTTCTTTGGAAGTCTCTGTACTGTCCCATTCATATTGGAATATAGTTCTAATGCTCTAATATTTTGGGACAAGCTATCATTCATTTACTATCATTCATTGGTTGTCATTCATAGTTTATTTGACTCTAAGCTTTTGTAATGCAGGACCCAGCTCCTTTATCTCTATGACCCCCTCCTTTGCCCTCTTTTACTCAGATGTTGGATTGATCTCTGACTTTTTTTTTTACTGATTTGTGAGATTCCTATAAAATCAGATGGTTCAGTTTTTCTAGAATTTGCTTTTTTTTTTTTGCTTAGAACTTGTTGTTGAGATGTTTTTCCATAGTTTTCTGCCTAATTATTATGTAGTTCTACCTTCTCTTGGAAATACAGTGTTTGATTTAATCACTAGTGGATGAGTCATGCTGCACTGTCTGTTTTAAACATCTGTTGGCCTTCCCCAAGTCTGTAGTGTAGTCTCCTAGATTTTATGAATAATGTGACATTTTTATGTAATCACTTTTCAGAGCCAAATTGCATCTGTTTAGTCTAACTTTTTTTTTTCCCCTCTCATAGTAGCTTAATTTTAGAACTGTTTGAGAGAATATATTGTTTAAAGCAATTTAATTTCAAGTTTGACTGTAGACATGCAACAGAACTCGGCTGTTTTGGTGAGTGAACTGACAGTCTAACCAACTGTAAATTGAGCTGAATTTCAAAAACAATAAAAAGTCTCAATGCTAGAGCTGCACTTGAATTCCTTTACCATTCTTTTAACAGCCACAATTGTTGTGGCTTTAAGAAATGAATCTATTCTGTTGCTCCTCTTCTTTCATGCAGTCTATCTTGGTCTTCACAAACACACAAAAATCAGGGTAAGGGAATTGCTGTCTTCAGACCCAGTACAGATGGAGATGCTGTGAGAAAGAAGTTTAAAGAAGAAAAAGTAGAAAATATTTAATCTGTCGATTGATAAGTGGACAAGGTGTCCTGCTGCTGTGTCTTACTGGTTTTTTTGGTTGCCTTTTTTGTATAAAGCAAACATAATTTCAGATGGTTACTAACATTATGTTAGAAGGATAGGAATGAATTCTTGTTACTGTAGTTATGTCATTGACAAGGGGACCTGTTTCTGGAGAGCAGGTTGTTTGTCAGGTTTTTGTGTACGTTGAATCCATTTGAACTGAAGTATTACCAGGTGAAGACATGTCAGAATTAATATTGATACTTGGGAAACTGCAGATCTTAGGGGAAAACACTAGCAAAATACTAATTTTGTAGCTGGTTTATTGAGAGAACTTATATATAGATCTGGATCTCCTCTCTGGTAGCTAAAGCTTTAAGCTCATACAAAGAATACTTTCCATTATAAGTGTTTGGAGCATTAAATTCTGAATTACTGCTTTGCAGAGGTTTCAACTCTGTTGTGTGCATGTTTTTAGATAAATGACTGTTTTGTAAAACAAACCATTGCACACCTAGACAAAATTTTATTCAGACTGAAATTGTTTCCTTCCTTTCGTGTCCTTCCTCTTTCTTTTGATCCTGAATAATCCTTTAATTTTTATAATCTCCTGTAGCAGGCTTCAGGTATCTTTTCTGAAGGAAAAACTTCCTCTTTCCATCTCTACTGTAAATACACTTGTGGAACTTGAATTATTCCTGTAGAAACAAATTAAAGTAGCCTGAACAGGAGTTTCAGCATTCACAGGTATATTGGGAGGGTGTATTTTTTTTGGTGACTTCTGATGAAATTTCATTTTTTAATCTCCCATATTGCTCAGAAATGTTTCTTAGATAAGCAGCATGGTAATTGTGAGGGCTGGGTTGAACATTCTTTACTTGTTTGTAGAGAAATCTTAAAAACTGGAATCTTGGAAATGCACAAGGGAATGCCTTGTGGATTAATAACTTCTTCGAATCAATCAGTGTTCTTCTGTGAATACTGAACTCTTGGCATTTCTGAAGCTTTAAAAACCAAAAATCTTTCATCCTTCTGTTTCTAAGGATATGTTAGCTAGTATTGCTAAAACTTTAAATTTTGGATGGGACTCCTCAGCTGTGTTATCTGACAGTTGCAAGGATATAAGATTTACTGTTTTTTGAGTGAACTCTTAACACCATGCCCAGGAGGAATAAGTTTATGCATCTTGTCAAACATGTGGGAAGGCTCAAAGGTTATAATGTAACCTTTCTAAATCATGTTGACTAAGAAGCTGGAACAATTCCTGTATTCTCTTCATGTGTGAGAGTCCATATACAGACACACATTTATATATCCATGTGCAGCAACTGCACAGAACTTGTCCAGCTGCTGGTTTTGTGGATTTCTCAGCCTCTTTTGACAGACAGTACCTTCTTTGCTGTCTTCTGTGAGTCTTGTGTGTCTTTCGAAGACATTGCAAGGCATTTGGAGCCTGGAGTGATCTCTGTGGCATCCTAACATTGTTATGCACCTGGATGCATTCCAGGGAACAGCACTGAAGTAACACCATGTAAGTTGTATGTGAGGAATCTGAATTTTAGGTAAATATCTTTCTGATGGAATTAGAAGTGTATAAAACTGGGGAACGATCAGATGTAGGTTCCTTATACAGGTATCTGTTAATAGTGGAAAAACTACAATTTGGTATGGGATCAGAGTTATGAGAAACTCAGTCCCTCTAGCTTAGCCTTTGAATTACGTAATTGTATCTTTTTGTCTTTATAAGATTGTTCCTCTATGTACATATTACTTGCTGGGTCTAGGTTGAAATACTGAAGCCAAGGTCTCATTACTTGTTTCCCTTCTGCAGACTGGTCAGTTTAATTCTCTCACAATCTAAGTAGTTAGTCTTCTCTCTTAATATTTACTGTATCAAAAAATTAACAGGAAATAGTCTGAATTATGACTTTTTAATATATGTATTCCTATTTCCTTTCTAATAAAGCAGGAAGTAAGCCTGAATCAAATAAAATGTTAGCTTTCTGCCTTAATCCTGATTTATTTTATTTTTTTAAATATTTCTGTGTTTGTGTATGTGGTAATGAGAAGTCCAAAACTGAGTAAGGTGATTGAGGTTTGTAGCTGACCTAGCTACAGGGGTCAGCACTTTCCTGGTTTGTGGTATTTACCGTGGATGTAACTCACAATTACAGATTTATCTAATACAGTGTCTTTCTTGGAACTATTTCAGAATATTATTCCTCCGCTTTTCTGTGTTCCTGTACAAAAGAATTAAATAGCAGGAATTTCTATTTCCCTCAAATGAATCTCATCTTTATGGCAATCAATGTTTTTAATTTTGTGTTATCACCTGGAAAATATTACCACTGCAGTCAGTATTTACATAATAACATATTTGAACTGACTTCTCTGGGAGATCTCTTTTTTGGTTACTTTCAGGTCATATTTTTGTTCTTACACTTTCTAGCATTATTCTAGTGAAGTCACTTGTAGGGGATTACAACTACAGTTATAATCATAATTTCAGTAAAATCATTAACATGATCTTGTAACTGGAAAATATTGCAATCAAAACGATTTCATAGACTAATACAGTATTTAATAACTTCATGGCTAAAAGTTTTGAGAATGAAATTTTTGAACTGTTAAAGTAAAAGCAATTTTGTATATGGGCTCTAGATGGCAGAATTGTTCTGTGGTCCTGAAATTCACAGTACTGGTGAGTTTAATAGCAAAATTGAAGAGTCAAAAGTGTGGCAGGTTAGTAGCAAACTAGTATGGTCGTTAGTGTCTTCACATGTAACAGATGTGTGGGTGATGAATGGCTGTGCATAAATGTGATGCTGTGGTACAGAGCTTAACTTCCCAACCTCAACTTTATCCTGTATTAGCTTACTTGGTAAAACTGGGAAGACTGTTACATTGCTACTAGGCATTTTGGAATACTGCATTTAAAGGATGGAGGGGCCAGATTATAAACATGGTATTGATATTGAGAAATACTGAATCCTGTTTTAGAAATAAGAGTCTTGTTAGTGATGTAATTCTCTTAAGTCTTCCCCAGCGTGCTGATCTGACTTGTTTTGGTATTTCTCCTCAAACAGCCTGGTGTTACACCAATGATAACAACTTGTCTTGGTGTATGTTAGTCACTGTGTTGGCAAGGGATAGAGCATCTGTGCCAGTACATTTTGAGAATTTACACACTCTTGCTTGTGGGCTTTCTTAAAGAATATGTATGACTTTTTCTGTAAGACAAGTGACTGTATTTATCTGACCATAGCTGCTGTCATTGATTGTCTTTTGGCTACCATTGTTTTCCCTTCTGATTTACATCTAGTACATGAGTCCTCTTTAGAGCCATGAGTGAGGATGAGTGGAAAAATCTATTGTGGTAGAGCTTTATTTAAGAAAGTATCAAAAGCCCAATTTGGTAGTTGCTGAAACACTTGAACTCTTCTCTGTTTCTCCAACGTGATGAATTATTACCAGGTGGAGACTTGGTTGGGATCAGCAGAGGGAGCTATCATGGCAATAGCAGCACTCTAGACAGCTAGCAACATGAATCAGTGAAATTGTCCTTTTACAAACTAAAATTTAGTATAATTTTTAAAGCATGTTCCATTTTTTTCAAGACTTACTGCAGAGAAACAGTTATTTTCTTGTGGTTTTTTTTTTTTCCTCCTGTTCTGTTCCCCAGAATATATTTTTTTTTTGTAAAAGTTTCATTTGATATTCAGTTTAAATAAATGTAAGTGAGAATCTAGGGAATGATCATATTCAGATATCTGAAGAGATGAACAATGAAAGTTAAGTAGTCTTGCAGCTCTGCAGAGATTTTCAAATCGGTTGGTATGTGCACTGAACTTCCTGTTTGACCACTTTTCTGTCACAGTAATGTAATCCCACATCCCCAGCCCAGCCAATGATCAGCAAGGTGATTATATTAGTTTAAGTGCTTATTAAAACATGGCTGTTTTTTCCCCCTTCCAAATAGATATTAATTGTGGCCTTGGGGGAACTTAATTTTTATGCTGTGGAAAAAAGACATCAATATGAACACTTTAATTCTTTGCTTACTAGCAACTTCTTCTCAGCAGATGGGAGAAAATCCTAATGTGATTTGTTTTTTTTACCAGAAAGAGTTTAAAATCTGTCCAGGACATGAAATTTCAGGTTATTAAAATCTGAGACGCTAAAATGCCTTGGAAAAATTTAATAATTGAAAATTTAATCTCACTTTAAGAGTATGTTAACTGTAGACTTTATGAATTAAACATGGCTGTGAAAGCTGGTCATAGCTTCCTTGTGACTGAAAGAAGACTTGGCTTGTATATGGACAGTCACTCTTCCAAAATTCCTTCTCATGTTATTTAATTAGTTCCTGCTCCTGAATTTCAGAAGAATGAGTAGCTTGTTGTTTCCAAGAGACAGTATGCGATGAAGTACAACAGTGACAAGAATTGTGATTGATGTGCTGCCCAGTCCACAGTTTGGGAGAAATCTCTGAATTTCCAGTAAAAGCATGTAGTTAGATTTATTTTCTGAAAAACAGAGCTGATTTTGAGTACCCTCATATATAAGTGATATATGCATGGCTCACAGCTCTTTAAAGGTTTTTTTTCTTCTCCCCCAAGTTTCTTCTGACTGCAAATAACTTCAAATACAGCTCTTTCAGTCTTTGTGAAAAGAATTAGGTTTGCTCAAGGAATGGCTTTGCCTTTATAAGTGGTTTCTGGTGGCCTTGCGGTTCCTGCCCCTCTGGCTTGGAGCAGCCTGACAGCATGCCAACTGAGGTCAAGTGAACAAGCTTAGAGAAGGCTTTCTCTAAACGATTAGTACAAAATTCCACCCAGAAGTCTTTGCTTTGTAACTTGTGCATTTGGTTTGTAAAGCCACTGCTGTTAATTAACACCACTTCTGTGTTAGCATACGATATTGGTAAGAATCTAAGCATTTTGTGTACGCTTTACAGCATTCTGAACCAGTAAAAAAGCCCTTTCCCTTAATTGATAAAAGGTTGCTTTTAATGATGAACCACTCCTGAAACTGACAGTAATCACAGATGTTGTGTACACATATCTATAGCTTAAAATGCCTGTTGAGCAGTAATGTAATAAGCATATGCCTTTCAAAAGTTTAATTACTGTTGACATTTTTGTTTGGAATAAAGCAGTCCTGTAAATACTACCAAGAGAAATGCATTGTAAAAAAAGTAATGGGTATAATTTGTTCAATTGGGCCTCAATGACTTGGTTATCTGACAAATCTCTGCATGAAGTCATTAGAATTATTCTGGATCACTCTTGAGTCAAGGATTTGTGAATGTGATTTCTGTGGTTCCTTCCTCCGATGTAAGATGCTTAAGTTACTTAGTGCCAAATGGAGTGAAGTTGTTAATCAAGAGAAATATTAAAAGAGCTGCAGCACAATGTGATGGGCTTGTGCCTGTGAGCTGTTAACAATCAGCTGAAGCACATTCTGCTTTTAACTGAACACCTTGCTGAAAAGCACAGGAAGTGGCTTCCTGCTTGCCTTGCCTCAGCTGCTCCATGCAGGATTAGGGCAATCCTCCCAAGGATTCATAAGGGCTCTTCCCAAGAACAGCTGAGTGTTCTTAGGTGGAGGAAAGCCTGTGGTAGTGCAGAGTTAGGAAGACAGAGGGACTGTGCCTGACATGTCCTGTCAAGAGTCCAAAGCGAGCAGACAGACTTGTGTTAGCAGAGACATACCTAGGCCTCAGAGATGAAACTTGTCTTGGAAATCTTGAGTAAAAGTTTTTCCATCTTGCTACAGCAGGAAATGTTCTAAAGGGACTGTAAGAGCATGGTAGGCAGGAGAGAGTAAGGAGATGAGAAGTACTTTGTGAAGAGTTTTGTTTACCTTATGGTGTAATGAAGTCAGTTAGATTTAGCAAGTTTGGGCCTTAAGGAATAGAGGGTAACAGTGAGGCCTTAAAACTCTGTTAATGTTTGGGTCCAGTCACAGGAAACAAACCAGAAAACAACTATTTAGAAAACTAGTGCACTAATTTTGTTTTTCTGGGAAGCACAAGTTAACTGAGTGCTGTCTTCTAGCTCTGTTGTTACGTGAGATGCAGATAGTCAGCAAGGTTCATGGGTACCTGGTATGTTTTCCAGAACTTCGCCAAGAATATTTTTGCAATTCTTCAATCAGTGAAAGCCAGAGAAGAAGGCCGAGCACCTGAGCAAAGACCTGCACCAAATACAGCACCAACGGTAAGAGAAGCACTTAGATGAATATGAAGGTTATGATATGAAAAGTGAGAGCAGAGTGTCTTGTCGTTATTAAATACAAAATTTGATTTGGTTTAGTTCCAATGAATGCATAACTTTCAAGCATAACTTCACGGATATTTTTCAACTTAAATTACATTTATTGGTATTTAGGAGTTGAATGTATTTGTGTAATTTGTTCAATATGTTCTTGTTACTTGGAGATTAAACTGCTAGTGCCAGCTTCTGCATCTATCTAACACTAGCGACATCCTGCAAAAACTGTATTAGATGAGACTACTGCCATCTCAAATGAAATGTTTTGCTGTTTTTCTGACAGTTAGGGTGGCAAATGTTAATAATCTGGAACATGACTCATGAGAGGGAACAGCTTGAACCAGCTTTCTTTTGCCTGTAATAAATCAGGAGAGACTTAGAGTTTTATTGTTTAATTCTATCTAGGTATTAGACAGGATTTGGTTTGTATTGTGGTGCTTACTGTTGAATTCTGTTAGACCTAATATATTCTTGAACTCAGTGACAGTTTGCTATAAAAGCTATTTAATCATACTTGGATTTGTTTTTCCTGCTACTGCATTTAACAATGAACTAAATTTAAATAGCAAGATTAATTTCAACCTTTAAGTGTTTGCTTTGCATTGAATTTTCTAAATTGTGCATGGGACTGCCTATTCAGAATAGTGAATATATAACTGAGCCATCCACAAAAAAGACTGAATTTAATGTGAAGTATTTAATGTGCCTGCAGATTGGTGGGCTTTTTAAAGCTTTTTTCCCAGAATGCCTTTTTTTCTCCAAATTTGTTTTTAATCTGTAGGCTTAACAGAATTTTCATTTAATCAGGCTGGCAAGGAGCATTTTGGATGTGTGGCTGAAGGCTTAATTAGGAGATATCAGTGCACAGGTGTTTTTTTCCCCCACACTAATTCTTGAGATATTACAAAACTCAGTGATTTCCTAAAACTTCCTAATTTTAGCTACTGTAGTTTGTTACAGCTACTTTAGTTTTGCCTCAGGTTGTTGTCGTTGCTTTTGGTATGTACTTCTAAATACTGTTTCTGTGAGATTTAAAGTGGATGTTGAAGGGAAACATCCCAGGAGTTTTCAAATACATTGAAACTGTTACAAAAGTGAACTAATTTTAAACTCTTGAGCAGTTCCATGTAATACTTTCTGAAGTTCAAAACCTTAAAAAAATGTATTTTAGTATGTTTTACAAATCTTATTTGTTTTAGGATCCCACTTTACGAAATAAGCAACCTATTCCAGCTGCCTACAACAGATACGATCAGGAAAGATTCAAAGGCAAAGAGGGTAAGTTGATTGTAATGCTTCTTTAAAAAAATAATAATTGGTAAATAAAACATGAGTTAAAAAGCCTTGGTTATTGTATTTCTGTGCTATTACTTTTCAAAGCTAAGAAAAAATGAAAATTAAAAGAAGCTGTAGCTAAAAACAGCTTTTCCAAGTAAAAAAGTCTAAAAATATTATTTGTTAGACATTATTTCTCCCTCTTGGGAAGGAAACTGAAAGTTTAAAACCAGAACTGGTGTAAAAATTCTTTATCTGAGGAAGGTCATAATGCAATTAAGAAAGAAAACAGAATTGCAAATATGACTGTCAGGTGCATGGAATGATATAGATTGCCTGCCCTCAATCAGTCACAGTTACAAGTTCCTTCCAGTAATTGCAAGTAAATATTATGAGCTTGTTGTAGATCTTTAAATTACAGAATGAACTGGTAGCAGCAGGGTAAAATATTAGCTTCCTTTGGGAGAGAAGATGGAAATAATCTATATAATTTAAGAATTCTCACTTATTTTAGAGCAGAATGAACTTAGTTGACAACTGGTCTAAAAGGTTTTGAGGTTTTGTTCTGTCCCCCTTGCTATTTTTTATCTTCTGTTTTAGTACCATTTCTAATTGTTTCATTTGTCTATCTTGGTGAGTTTTTATTTTGAAAGTCTCATGTTTATTGTGTTCAGATGTTTTTGTTTCCTGCAGAGGACAAGGCAAATCTTGTTACACTTCTGAGTTACTTCTTCCATTCTGTTCTCAAACAAAATAATTCTCTCCTTTAATGAAACTCCATATGCATGCTTCTCAGGGATTTCTGACTGCAAGAACTTACATGCTGCTAAATGTGATTTTTAAACTGTAGATGAGCAGTTCAGCTTGCATGTTTTTCAGTATTTGGCTTTGTCTAGGTTAGTACCATTTTTTTTCAGGGTAACTGAGTAACAGTCATATGCCATGTATGTGAATTCTCAGGTTTTATGGAAGTGCTGCACTGCAGCAGTTGTTGTTCAATTCTGCATTGGCATGATGTGATTGTTGTTACTATATGATTTAATAATAAGGAAGAGTGTATTAGCGTACTACTTGGATATTCAGTTTGGATTGTAACTGGAGAAAGAAAAGCATAAAATATAACACCAAAGAGAATTTCATGCTGTAAGAAATTTGTGAAGGTTGTTTTCCATGCATCTCATCAGAAACTGGCTGTAGCCATCCCTAAAGTTGTTTGAAAAAAGAAGTTTTTTAAATATACGCTTACATTTTTTAGATTTATGTGGGGTTTTTTCAGTGTGATACTTAATATAGGAAATTTGGTCAGATATTCTTATTATATCCTCTACATGTTTATTCCCTGTTGGCCTCAATATACTTCTATTTCAATGCAGTGGGTTTTACTTGCTACTAGTCATAGTGTGGGGTGATGGTAGAAGGAGAAAGCTGATGCAGGATATTTGCGTCCATCTGTGTATAATTTGTCCAGCATTGACAAATAATCTACAAATAGTATCCATGAAGAATTCATTCTTATAAAAAGGGTAATGGGAATTTAGGAAAGAAAGGAAGAACAAAAAAAACCACCACAACAAAAAAATCAAAGCCAAAACCAACCCTTCTATGAATATTTTTACTAGTAGTTCTTCAGTTTGCTTGTGCTAGCACTTTTATCTTCAAGACTTACATATTTGCCAAGTAGTTTTCCTTTTACTAACACTTCCTATTACATGTTAAATAGCAAATACCTATTCAGTATGAAATAAAATGGGGAGAAATAAATTAACGGACAATTTTAACAGTTCAGATGTACCCATGTATATAATTCATTGTGACTCTTTTACAACAAGAAACTTAGATAAAGAAATGTTCTGTGTGTTTCTAGATGACAGATTACATAGTTTTTGAAAGCAATAACATCTGTTCTAAACAGGTGAAGGTATTTTATGCTTCTGCCACAAGTGTCTGGTTCAAGAGGGAACAGAAAAAAACCAACAGGTTTTGCATGGCAGAAGAAAAGAACCCTGAAGAGTTGGTCAAGCAGCTCACCAGTGCAGGTTTAATGTAGAAATTTCTGAGCAGAAATCAAAGAAGAGATTGAATGGTTGCTGGAGGAGGGTGGGGGGGTCATGTTTTCTGCCTGTAATTTTAGTGATAAAAAGATCCATTTGTATGTGGTCTTGGGGCTTCCCTCAGTTCTCAGATGGACTGGACTGCAGCTCGTGTTCCAGTTGGAAGGCTCTTGTGTGATGTCATGGTTATGGAAAGCCCAAAATGGTCATATTCTACCTGTGTAGTTATCTTTATGACTCTGCTTCTTTCTAGGACATGTTTCTTGGATTCACAAAGTTAATTTTGTAGTCACACGCCACATTAATTTTCTATTTCAGTTTTCTACATGTATTTAAAGAAATACGTAGTTTAAGAATAGCAGTGGTGCAATACCAGGTTAGATAAGTGTAGGCTAGCATTGGAAATACAAATTAGGTGTTTGAAAGAATGCATTTAAAATACAAGATTGACTTATGAAAAGTACTGATAGAGCATTTATGGAAACTATGTAAAATTAATAATCAATATTTGGAATTCTTAGGAGAGGGCTCGGATATCTTCCTCAGCTACAAATTAACTTTAGAAAATAGCATATTTTATTCTGGAGTATTGTATTCTAGAACTAGAACTTAAGTTTTCAAAAGTCATAATTAGTCGTTAACATTTGTCTATGCCATTCATCATTGGTAATGTGATTTGCTTAAAATTGAACTATATACATCACTTGCAACCGTATCACAAGTGAACTCATTCCTTAAAGGACTTTTAATTGCTCTCAACATTAATTTGTGGCCCCCAAATAGTCATTGTAGAAGTAAGATTGCAAGCAGGATTAGTCATAAATAGAAGACATGTAAGGTATTTTTTGTTTCTTAAAGGCTGGTTTTTTTACAGTTAGTCTTGTTAGAACCTGGAATACGTGTTTTTATAGAAAGCTTGCAGTATTGAGGATTTTGGGACAGAAGTCTGAAGGAAAAGAAGGATGATTATTTAATTTCTAGGTATAATAATTTCCAGTTTTTATACCATTGTATCCACATTTATTAGTAATGATGGATAACACCTGAGATGAAATTGAAACTGATAGATTTGTGTGACTCTAAAGGATTTCCACGTCTTATTCTACATCACTCTGCATGTGGTTGGCTAGAGATTGTAGGAGGGAGGATTGTATGATGTGTGTAACAATGTGTGTAGTAGTCATTTTGGCTGAAGATAGAAACAAAGCCAAGAGAGTGTTCTCCAAGCTTTTGTCTTTGTCTCACCTGTTTGCTCTTTCCTCAGAGGCACTGAAACCATGTGATTGCAGCTTATTATCTATCTGCAGTTTAGTTTAATGCTATTGTATTAATGAAAATTTGAAGTTTAGTCAGCAAAGAGGTGAATTGTTTTATCTTTGAATATTTTTGTGGTTTAATACATAATTTTTCCATTAACAGTCTTGCTCTTAGCATAAACAATTCAAAGCTTGTAGAGCTAAGACAGTAAATTTAGGAATTTTAACATGAGATGTATTAAGTAAACTGCTGAGTTGCAGCCAAATTTCTCTGCTTCTTGTGATGGATCATTATTTCTGATGCTGTGTGTCAGGAAGCTTCTCTGATTGGCTTATATAAAATTTTGATGCCAGATAGGACAGACTTTGCTGCTAGAGCGGTAAGGAGTTCTATAGTGGGCGTGGTGGTAAAATGTTTCAGTTGTTATTCCCAAAGTTCTGTCACATATGGTATAGGAAATGTATTAGAATGTCTCTTGCAGTCAGACTTGTACATCTTAGATACTTACACAGTGGAAGAAGGTGTTACTTGGCAGTGCACCTATCAAATTGAACTGTTGGTTTTGAGGTGGGAAGGTGAACATCTTGCAACTATTTAACCTTGTCTGCTGCTTCTTTCCTGTTGGTTGTTTTTTCATTCATACTGGCTGGAAGTGATGGTACCCTCTTTCCAACAATGTAGACCTCCATGATGTGCTAAAACTCTCTACATCTCCCTTTCTTATTCATTTCCTTCATATTATTCACTTTAGCTTATTTTCATGTCACCTATTCGTGCATTTTTATTAGTAGAATTTTATTCATGCCACAGACCATCTTGTTCAAACTACAGTCTGTTATATCTTCTTAGGCAACATAATTTTAAAATCCTTTTCAGGATTTAAAAATCCTGCTTCCAAATGTCATTTGATGCTTAGGAAGATATTGTGTCCTCTCCTGTGTGTCTTATTGTTTGATATTTAAGTACGTATTTATTGATGTGTACAGTTTGAAGCTCAGCCAGTGGTATACTGAAGCTTTGAGCTGATGGGATTGTTTTGTAGGACAGTCTAGGTTCTAAACTGTTGTGGACCCTGTACCTTGTTTATTCCCCATTTTTGGGGGTGGCTTTACCTGAGATTCTCCTTTTGATGTGCTTGTTTCTGTGGTCAGTCTAGGGTGTGAAATAGTGCTAGGATGATAATGTTGGAGATTGAACATTTTCCTGACCCATTGAGGGCATCTTTCAGTGTAGATGGTAAAGTTTCTCTGTGCCAATCGAAGTGTTAGGTCTTTAAGGTGTGGTCCAGGGACGTTGTTTGAATTACAGAATCATAGAATGGTTAAGGTTGGAAGGGACCTTCAGGTTCCAACCTCCCTGCTATGAGCAGGGACACCTCCCACTAGACTAGGTTGCACAAAACCTCATCCAACTTGGCCTTAAACACTTCCAGGGAAGGGGCTTCCACAACCTCCCTAGGCAACCTATTCCAGTGCCTTAATACCCTTATGGTGAAAAATTTCTAAGTTTTCTAAATCTCCCCTTCCAGTTTAAAACCATTACTCCTTGTCCTATCACTGCCTTCTCTGGTGAAAAGCCCCTCCCCAGCTTTCCTCTAGGCCCCTTCAGACACTAGAAGGCCAATATAAAGTCTCTCCAGAGCCTTCTCTTCTCCAGACTGTTCTTTTTTTGCCTGCTGTTGTTGTTGTCGTCATA